GAGGGGAGGGAGGGGGGAGGAAGAATGAGAGAGAAAGAGAGAGAGAGATACTAATAACCAATGCCCTTATTCTCTATGAATTAGTCTAATCTCCTTTCTAAACAGTCTAGGTCATGAGTCATCACTACAATTAGACAATATCTTCATGCTTTTCCTTTAAGTGATCTTGATAATGCAACATAGGGAGAGTATATATTTAAATAAAGAAGCAAATGTAATTCAAGTGGAATATTCTCTTTGAAAAGTTCAGCATTCTAAAATTGAGAAGATTCCTTTTTAATGCTCACTGCTTCCCTTTGATTTTTTTTTTCTCAGATCATGTGTGGACTGAAGTTTATTCTGTATCACAGCAAAGGTGGCTTCATTGCGACCCTTGTGAAAATGTTTGTGATAAACCCCTTTTGTATGAGATTGGATGGGGGAAAAAACTGTCATATATTATTGCCTTTTCTAAAGAGGAGGTAGGTGAACAGTGTTTACTGAATTAAACATAACTTCCATAACTTCCATTCTACAGCTTTGGCTGTAGCATTGGTTCTAATGTCAAAGCAGTCATAGATGCATGACAAGGAGGAGATTGTTTCTTCACTAGAATTGTTCCAATCTTAACATGCTTGAAAGTCAATCTATTTTCTCTCTATGATACTGCATGATTAAGGTATTTTCTTTCACAATTTGTGCTTTTCAGGTTGTTGATGTCACCTGGCGTTACTCTTGTAAACATGAAGAATTGCTTCCTAGAAGGACACAGGTCAAAGAAACTGTGCTACGAGAAACAATCAATAATCTTAACAAAATTGTATGTAGTTTTAACTTTATCTATTAAATTTACAGAAAGGTTGAAATCAAACTGCTCTTGAATCAAGGATTGAAAATGTAACCTGTTGCTGTTCACAGTTAATTGAGAAAGATACAGACTTACAGTGGGGCAAAAAAGTATTTAGTCAGCCACCAATTGTGCAAGTTCTCCCTGTTGCTGTTCACAGTTAATTGAGAAAGATACAGACTTACAGTGGGGCAAAAAAGTATTTAGTCAGCCGCCAATTGTGCAAGTTCTCCCTGTTGCTGTTCACAGTTAATTGAGAAAGATACAGACTTACAGTGGGGCAAAAAAGTATTTAGTCAGCCGCCAATTGTGCAAGTTCTCCCTGTTGCTGTTCACAGTTAATTGAGAAAGATACAGACTTACAGTGGGGCAAAAAAGTATTTAGTCAGCCGCCAATTGTGCAAGTTCTCCCTGTTGCTGTTCACAGTTAATTGAGAAAGATACAGACTTACAGTGGGGCAAAAAAGTATTTAGTCAGCCGCCAATTGTGCAAGTTCTCCCTGTTGCTGTTCACAGTTAATTGAGAAAGATACAGACTTACAGTGGGGCAAAAAAGTATTTAGTCAGCCGCCAATTGTGCAAGTTCTCCCTGTTGCTGTTCACAGTTAATTGAGAAAGATACAGACTTACAGTGGGGCAAAAAAGTATTTAGTCAGCCGCCAATTGTGCAAGTTCTCCCTGTTGCTGTTCACAGTTAATTGAGAAAGATACAGACTTACAGTGGGGCAAAAAAGTATTTAGTCAGCCGCCAATTGTGCAAGTTCTCCCTGTTGCTGTTCACAGTTAATTGAGAAAGATACAGACTTACAGTGGGGCAAAAAAGTATTTAGTCAGCCGCCAATTGTGCAAGTTCTCCCTGTTGCTGTTCACAGTTAATTGAGAAAGATACAGACTTACAGTGGGGCAAAAAAGTATTTAGTCAGCCGCCAATTGTGCAAGTTCTCATTTTTTCCCCCCATTTTGTCTCTCATAGTTGAGGTATACCTATGATGAAAATTACAGGCCGCTCTCATCTTTTTAAGTGGGAGAACTTGCACAATTGGTGGCTGACTAAATACTTTTTTGCCCCACTGTATCACTATAAATACATGCACTATTTCTTTATGGAAAATTGGCTATATGTAAATTACAAGATGATGGCAGGAAAAAATTATACCACCACCTAATATAAGTGATAAACTGTTCCACAACTGAATGTGGCCCTCCTAAAGAGGAGTAAGTGGGCCTGTAGCCCTGTTGTGGCATACATTCTGCGTCACAGATTCTGTTTCACAGAGTCAGATCTCAATCTCTTCTTCCCCAAATCACTACCAAGGTCCTTCTTTGTTATGTACATTCCCTATACATTGATTTTTAAAGCTTATTTTTCTCTTATGGAATTTTAATCAGGAGAAATATACATGCTTAGCAAATTCTATTTAGAGTTGCCTATAAGTGTTTCAAAAAGTCCAATTTTGGCAGATACAGCAAATCTTTGGATTTCTTTATATCCCTTAAGTGTTTCTAGAGCCCTTCTAGCTCTCTGAAGATGTTGGCTGTACTGTTTTTGTTTTGCAGAGTTGTCAATATAAAAAATCAGAGGCAGCTTTCATGAAAATAATTATTTCCCCCTCTCTGAAATGTTTGAATACTAACAAACAGTATGCTCTATACATAGATAGACTTGTTGAAGGCTCATGTGATCTAAATTGATTCATCAATGATCTAGTTGAATACCTATTTTTCAGTTAAAACTGTGAAATTGTATAGTGCTTGATAGGACAAAGCATCTGTCATTAGGAATATAACCTTTTTAAAGTATCAAATTATTAAGTATTGTCTTATTCACAACATTAACTCTTATACTCTAAGGACAGACAATCATATGGAATAACATTTTTGATCCAGCCAACATGCTTTCTTTTAAGGTTTTTTTTCTTTAGCTTAGAATTAAAAAGTGGGTACAGAACTAATCCAAACTTGGAATAAAATTTACAAATAGAATAAATCCAAAAGTTCATTATCAAGTTAACGTTAAATTTTTAATAATAGCTAGGTGTAATGGGCTTCTATATCTTATTTGTATGCTTCCTTACCCAGAAATAAATCCTACAGAATTCAGTAGGACTTATTAAATAGACATACATATGATTTCACTGTTAGTCATGCTTGCAGTAGAAATAAATAGAACTGTCAATTTCCGCTAACTCTACTGTTACGGCATGATTTAATCTAATGTTAAAAATTTTCAACCTTCTGGAGTCCTTGGGGTTCTCTGAGCTTGGTTGTTTTCATGCAAACATTTCATTACCTGGCTAGGTAACATCTTCAGTGCTAGAATGGAATGGGG